TAGAAACGGAATCAAATTTAAGAGAATCCATGTCAAGGGGACACAGCCATTTTCAGGCATTTGCGAGGCTAAGGAGGACAATGGGAAGCTGATTCCAACCAGGAAAAAAACTGTTCAATTGGAGAAAGAGTACCAAAAGTACCGAAAGGAAAGAGACATACAGGGAGCTGGAAGAGAGGGATAGGACAGGAGAGGTCTGTGCTCTCCTTTACTGCCCAGTGCTTATATAGTAAGGTGGACTGTGTTTACTTTCTGCATTGCTGGCCCTGTCTCAGGGAAGTATTTGAGGAAGGTGAATTTTTGGACTGCAAGTGTAGTTTCTGGTCATCCCTTTCATAAGGGAAGTCATCCACATAAGCCAGAAATGCTTCTGGTTCTGAGTAGCCAACTTGAAAAATGGTTTTTTTGTTTGTTTGTTTGTTTGTTTTCATGTAAAAAGAAGTACTGAGTTAGGCAGTTTGTATTATTTCAGCTGCAACTCAGTATCTTTTCATCATGATGCTCCCTTATATGAAAATGTGGCTTATCATTCTTAAGCAAAATGGCTTAGCACTTTGTTTATGGCAGGAGAAGAGGGAGAGGCATTAGCTGTATCTGTCTCTTAAAAGAAATGCAAATGGTGACTCAGAAGTCCTCCCATCAGACTTCTTCTTAGGTTTCTTTGAGCAGTGTCACATCACCACTACTAGCTGCAAGTGATGCTAGGAAAATGACCCTTCTCTCTTTTTAGTGGCAGGAGGCAAACGATAAGGGTGAGGAAATGACTCCCTTTCTTGAAGGATTACTTTACATAGCATGAGTTCTCCACAAAACAGCAGTCTCACTTTACCCGGAGACAGCAGATAACCCCAACACATGCTACTGCTTACTTCACAATATTCTTGTGTTAACTTTACAGGGAAGAAAAAAAAAAAAAGACAAATCTGGCCCTAGATTGTGCAACCAACCACATCTTAGAATATCTGCTTCACTGCTTTGTTGTATGCATCACCCAATTTTCTTTTCCAACTTCTGTGCTTGTGGAAAGAATGGTCCCAGTTAGTTTTAATCATCACAACAGGTTTATGAGGTAAATACTATCTAACTATATCACCAGCTCAATTCCTCTCTATTGTCATCATCTGTCACCTATTTTAGCCCTAAGCCATCATCCTTTGGATATTTTCACACTGTCTT